AGCACTTGTCTCATGCACCCAACCTGGGCTGGTGATCTGTTTCACCCTAGATAATATACATGTTTCAATGCTGCCAACCTGCTCTTAACACCCTTTTCATCAGGCTCCTGTAGAGCCCCTTCACGCGTTGCTGACCTTCTTTCTAGTCTCTGTACAAGCAGAGCTCTTTCTTCCTGTAGGATAGCATTAGCTTTTCCTCAGCCTGGAATGCTCTTGCCCAGAATCCTCAAATGGAATCTCTTACTTATAATTCAGAACTCAGCTCAAGTATAATCTCTTGAGAGAGGACTCCCTGACTACCTTATCAAAAATAAACCCTTTTCCTTATCCTTTTTATTTCCATCATGTGCATGCCTGAGTGCTAAGTCGCTTCAGTTATGTCTGACTCTTTGTGAACCTATGTACCATAGCCCACCAGGCTCCTCTGTCCATGGGGTTCTCCAGGCAAGAATGCTGGAGTGGGTTGCCATGTCCTCCTCCAGGGGATCTTTCTGATCCAAGAATCAAATATATGTCTCTTATGTGTCCTGCATTGTCAGGTGGGTTCTTTACCATTAGCACCACCCAGGAAGCACTTATCATAATCCAATGATGACTTGTTTAATATGTTTACCTTTTTAAGTGACTGTCCTCTCCCACTGGATGTTCATCCATGTGGGCAGGGACTTGGTCTGTCTACTTTACTCCCATGCCCTAGGTCTTAGAATCAACTCTAGCTCACAGTAAGCGCTCAATAAAACATTTGTTAAATCAATGAACACAGAGTTAGACAGTTGGATGTGCTGAAATAAACTGGTGAAAGATCTTGGCTGAAGATACAAATTTGGGAATTATTATAAAAATAAATCTTAATAAGTAAGAACTAGAAGAGAACTTCCTTAACCTGCTAAAAGAGTCCACAAAAAATCTACAACCTGAAAAAAAATTAATGAACTATGCAACTGTGATGGAGATCCTAGCCAGCACAGTGAGGCAAAAAGAGAAATGATGCATCAAAAGGAAGAAATAGAACTGCCAATATTTGGACACATATTATTTATGTATAAAAACAAAATCACCTATACATAAATTGTTAATTTAGAGTTTAGTAAAGTTGTAGAATCAACATATAAAAATCAATTGCTTTTTTGGGATTTCCCTGGTGATCCAATGGTTAAGAATTCAGCTGCCAATGCAGGGGACACAGGGTTGATCCCTGGTCCGGGAAGATTCCACATGCTGTGGGGTAACTAAACCCATGTGCCACAACTTCTGAGCCTGTGTGCCATAGAGCCCACAGTCCACAACAAGAGAAGCCACCATGATGAGAAGCCAACATGCCATAACTAGAGAAAGTTCTGGGCAGCAAGGAAGACCCAGCTCAGCCAAAAATAAATAAATAAAAATTAAAAAATAACGCTGCACATCTGCTTTGTGGAGTAGCCACCCACTTTCTCCTAGGTAAATGGGCTCTGCAGCCTAGTGTCCCAGTTCCTGCTGTCCATGATAGTGAGGCCCATGAGGGGTTACCACTGAGGTTTCCACTAGCCTGCAAGCTAGAGCAAGGTAGCCATCCCTCTCATGACTACTACCAGCACCACCTTGGCTACACTTCCAGTAACAGCTCCTGCAGAAGCCTCACCCCACCACATGGTCTTCCCCCACCACCAGCGTCCCCCCAAGGCACACCCAGAACACTGGTGGGCTAGCTTCTTTTTCAGGAAGTCCACTCTCCCGTTTATGGCCACAGTGTTGGAGTCCCCAGAGCACTCAGAGTCTGCCCAGGCCTCCACCAGCATCATCACCTGTGACCTGGCTCTGTAAGCCATGGGGAAGCAGCAGCCTGGTGGCCAGCCTGGCAAAATGAACTGCAGGCCCCCAACCTGAGTGACCACCACCAGCTGCCAGGCTTCCTTCCAAGACACTAGGTTCATCGGAGCCCTCCCCATCCCCTCTCCTCCCTTCCACTCCTCTCCCCAAGACTAAGCAGGTTGCAGCCAATGGAGGCAGTTCAGTTTTTAATATCAAAACAGCAAAACACAAAAAAGGAAGTTGAGAGACCTTACTCTTGACTATCCAAGTCACATGAGAGCCTTCTTCACATCCCATAACCCTATGCCTTGCACAAAGTGGACAATAAATTTCAAGCAGCCAACAAAAATAAAACAAAACATAAATTTTCCTTTATAAGCTTGATTGCTTTTAAAAATAATTTTTATATACCAGGAAAATGCAGACTATCTCATTATTCTAAGCTTATTTCTGTATGAAAACAACCATTCTATCACCACAAAGCTCACTGTGAACACAGTGAATTAAAAAAGAAAACATCCTATAGACATATGAATGCATGTTGAAATACCAAAAGTAACAACAACAGCAAAAATCCTAAGACTATCCAGAGAAGAAAAAGAAAAGGTCAGTGACAATAGAATAAGAATCAACAGCAACACTGGACGCTAAAAGACAATGGACCAACGCTTTCACATTTTTGAAGAAAATGTATTTGATTTTAGACAAAATTCTATACCCAGCTAAACTGGCACTTAATTATAGCTGTTTAAAATAACGGCATTTTCCTAACATTATTATAATGTTTGAAAATCTGCCTCATGTGTACTCATCAGAAGTTATGTGATAATATTCTCCAGCAAAAGAAGGGAGTAAACAAAAAAGAATTACACTCGATCCAGGATGCAGTAGATTCAGCACCCAAGGAGAGCAGCCATACGGAAGTCCTAAGGAGAATTCTATGTAGTAAGCACAGCCTAAAGCAACCAGCCCAGGTTAGAGGGTAATATAGAGACTTTTAGGAGGGAAATTTCTGAGAAAAAGGGCTTGGTAGGATACTTAGTGCAATAGCACTGGGATGGGAATGGGAAGGGAAGGATTATAATCAAGATACTGCCAGAAAACAATATAATTTGAAATGCTAGTCCTCCAAAAAAAAAAAAAAACAACAAATCTGTATAAGGAATAAACATAATCTATTATAGTATTTGGCTCTCCTATTCAACATTTGGGCTTCCCAGGTGGCACTAGTGGTAAAGAACACACCCGCCAATGCAGGAGACATAAGAGAGACAAGTTCGACTCCTGGGTTGGGAAAATCCCCTGGAGAAGGAAATGGCAACCCATTCCACTGTTTTTGCCTGGAGAATCTCATGGATAGAGGAGCCTGGTGGGCCACAGTCCATAGGGTCACAAAGCGTTGGACATGACTGAAGTGACTTAGCATGCATGCACATTCAACATTTAAGAAGTCACAATAGTGTAAAAATCATTTATTGATATATATAAATATGATAATTAAATGATTTAGGAGAGTAAAAGATGGAAAGTAGCATGTCAGTTAAATTCTTATCAGTTACAGTAAAAATAAATATATAATGTCTAAAATGGATAAATCAAGAAAAAGCATTATTTCATTTAGAATAAATGAAGGTAACTACCAGAAGAAACTACTAAAAGAGTTAAAAAGGATTGCCTGTGGTAAGCAGGATTTAGGAATGAGGAAGGAACTATGTGAGAAAGATGTTTTTTGTTTAATACCCCTCCCCTCCATGTTTGCTTTTCACAAGAATCCTTAATACACTGATTATGAACTGTATATTTGCTTTTTTGATAAAAGTAAAAATTTACTTAAAAAGAAAGATTTTCTTGGTCCAGAAAGGAGGGTTAGTGTCAGAAATGGATTTTTTTTTTTCTTTCTGGGTAAAGCTAAAGAATCTTTAGAGTCCCTGACAGGCTGGAATTTGTTCTAGGTGAGGGAAGAAACCATGTTGCAGCCAAGCAGAATTTCTGATAACCTGCCTGAAGAGATCTCAGAGAAAGGGAACAATTCTCCAAGACTACAGCTATTTGTGGTTTATCTTCTCACTCTAGACAGTCATATTCCAACCCTATTTAAAAATGTTTCCCCTTAAAGAGAGTCCTTCAAATGGGGTAAATGTTAGGCTTCACAAAATCTGGTTTAGCTTCTTGGAGTTGTCTCCCACAGGGGTCCAAACTTACTCCTTTTTATTAAATGGTTGATTTATGTTTTTATTCAGATTGTTTATTTGTTCTTTTTAATTCTTGTTCTTGCGGGGAGAGTGAGCACAGTTTTTTCAGTAATTTTTGGAATCAATAAACTGTATTAGAACCTGCTCCTTCTCTAACTACCTTACCTGGAGCTCAGAGACTGTAAGCCCTTGGAGGCGAGGAACAGAGCCGTCCAGTTCAGGTATAATGTTAATGCGGCTTTAATATATATTCGTTGAAGGAACAAATACAAATCTGAGTGCCATTATGTATCATTTTTTCCTTCTGCTTTGTCTGTTTATTGAGACTCGGTGTTATGCAAGGCAGAGGGCTGTGGGAATAAGGGTGAGAGGAGGTAGAGTGATTTTTTTCCAAACTTTAGATCCCGCATTCGACTTTACATAATAGATGCCTTTCTGGACATTTTGTACTGCGTATATCAGATTTTACTAATCTCAACTCACTTTACACATAGAGATTATTAACGATGTTTAAAATTTTGTACTATGAGATGTAGAGCATTTTACTTGAAGAATCTTTCTGTGTATTTTTCTGTAAAGTGAATTACCAGCATATATGAAGTCTATTTTGGGGGTGTGCTTAAAATGGGGCACACCAGTACTAAGTTCGGCTTTAACAATGACTAACTCACACACCCTGTGTGCTGTTGGGCGCTCGCCAGCAACTAGCCACCTATCACTTCTCTTGGCCCCTTCTCTCCGTGCTGACCACCTGCTTCGACTCGGAGGCGGCGTCTTGACCCTCCGCGACCTCTCCGTCATGGCGTCCGCGGGGCGTCTGCCGCCTGGGCCAGGCACTTGGCGGGCGGCGACCTTCCCAAGATGGCGGCGGCAGAGGCCACTGCGCGTAGGGGGCGGGGTTCCGCCTCCGGAGGCGGAGCAGTAGGCAGAAGGGTCGGCCTAGCGGGCGGGCTGCTTCCGAAGTAGGCAGCCCCAGCGCGCCTGCGCGGAGCGGCCCTGCGCGCTGTGAGGCTGTGGCGGGGGAAGGCACCGGTGGGGCCGACGGGCGGGTAGAAGGAGGGAAGCGGGCGAGCGAAGTCCCAGTGCGCGCCGCGGCGGCACGGGTACCCTCCCCTTCCGGGCGTGAGGCGCTGTGAGGAAAGCTGAAGCGAGCGGACTCGCACCGGCAGCGAGGCGCCGCTACCGCCGCCACAGCCCAGCCTCCCTCGGCTTCGGCGCTCCCGTCGTGGGGGCCCGGGTTCCTCAGCACACCCAGCTCCAGCAGCTCCGGAGCCAGTGCCCAGTCCTTCGGAAGCCCCGGCGCCAGCCCGGGCCCTTGGCGGGGAGGATGACGGAGCTGCAGTCGGCACTGCTGCTGCGAAGACAGCTGGCAGGTGAGCGAGCGGGCGGCGGGGCGGCGGGCCGGGCCGCGATCGCGGCAAGCAGCTGCCCGCTTCTCCCCTCCTCCCGGGCGCTCCCGGGCTGGCGGGCCGGACGGTCGAGGGGAGCGGCAGGCTCCGGCGAGATCGGGCGCGGGCCTGCGAGAGTGGGGAGCCCGGGCGCCGGTCCGGGCCGGGCCCATCACTCCTTCCCCGGCTTTCCGAGGGTGTTGGGGGCGGGGACGCGCCCCGGACGGGGCCTGGCACCCCCGGGGAGGGAGGGGAGCTTGTCCCCTCCCCCACTGTTCGGTGGGACGTTGCGGGGGAGGGGCTGTGGGTCCCCCGTCCCGGCGGACCCTCCCTGGAGGGGCGGGTCCGGGCTCAGGTGCGCCCGAGACCGCTGGACCCCCCGAGGCAGGTAGAGCATCTGGGCCCGGCCGGCTGTGCGTCGCGGGCTTGGCTGTCCGAGCCGCGGGCGGGCAGTCGGGGGCCGGGTGGGCGAGAGGAACTGGCCGCGGGGCGGATAGGTGAGGCGCGCCAAACTTCTGCCCGGGCAGCGCTGGGTCCGCGTAGTTGTGGCGGACAACAAAAGCGCCGGCCTCTGCGGCCTGGTCGCTGGCTCACGGGGTCTGAGAGCCCGGCGGGGAGCGGGACGCCGCCTCGCCTGCCTCCGCCTGGCACGGGCTCCGGCTGCGCCGCCCGGCTGGGGGAGGGTAGGAGCGGGCCGAGCAGAGAGCCGCTCGCTGGCCAGCTCGGGGCTTTGTGCTCCGAGCGATTCTGGCTCCTGTGCAGGCCTGCGGGGCCCCGGGGCTGCGGCCCGCGGGCTTTGGCTTGGGGCGGCGGCCGTGTCTGTCTCCCCTGAGGTGCCTGTGTTCCCCCTCCCCCATTGTCCCGGCCTCCGGCCGTTTGCGGCTTCCAGGTTGACTTTTTAGGGGGTTGGCTCCGAGTCTGCTAGGACTGTGTGAGCGGAGCATGCGCATTGGAGACGTACGTGTGCGGAGTGGAAGAGGGGGAGTTGGGTTGGTGGCTTCACAATGCCTCCCCACGTGCTGCCAGATTTAAAGAGAAATGAACCAGCAGTTACCTTCTGCCCAACGCCCGGCGGCTGTCCTCGATTCTGGCGGATATTCACCTCTCCGCTCTCCCGCCAGAGGCCCTGAGCCCTCGGCAGAACCTAGAGGCTGGAATGGACATCTGTTTTTGCAATAGGTGTACTAAGAGTTTGAGGTGTTGGTTAAATCACCTTTGTGACTTCTTAAGGAAAAGGTTGTCAGGGGCTGTTACAGGTTGTATAATTAGGTTTATTATTAGACCATGAGCAAGCAGGTTTGGACACATACTAAAGTTATGGATGCTCAGGGGGAGTGATCTAGAGTGAATGGAGAAGTTCTGGTGATCTCTGTGTCCATAGCAAATAATGTATTGGACAAGCACTGAATGAATAACAACTTTATTGTATCTTGTAGTTGCAAACACAGCTTACTGTTCTGTGTATTTTTCTTTTTTTGGTTTGTTTCGGTGGAAGAAATTAAGATGTTCTTTTGTCTCCCTAAGAATTCCTTAATCAGAATAAATTTTAAATTATGTGGTGAACTGTTAATCAGTATTAAAGTATTAAAACTACTCAACTCTTACATAATGTGACAGGTGTATATATATATATATATATTTAAAGGTGTAAAAGAAGTTAAGCAGTTGCTCTGAAAGTAAAGTATGACTAATAACAGTGTTAACAGTAGCAGTATTTAAAAATTCTTTCCAAACTACTTGTGAACAGACTTTAAATTTTGATAGCCCCTTGGTTCAGTTTTGCACTCTTAAAGATTAATCCCAAATATTGATAAAGACATTTTCCAAAACGCTTTCTTAATGGATGACTTTTTGTTAAGGCTTACCAAGATATGCTTTAAGTTTGGAGGACAGAATGATTTAGTTTGTAATCTTTCATGCCTTATTATAAAATTACTTGGCTGCAGATTACTTTTCTTCTCGATCAGAAAGAAGGACTGTTAATATTTTCTTAAGTTTTTGAAGGATATTAATTAACATACTCAGAATGTATAAAGTAGGCCAAGGCCAGTGCATTAAGAGAAGTGTGAAAATATCAAGTTTATTGGAAAGACTTGATAATTACATACTGAAATAAAGGCCCTATTTAGTCTTTAGTAGTACATTGAGCTTTTTGATTCTTCAGATATCATTTGAAAACAGGAAAAATATTAAACTGTAATAGCTTGAACTTTTGGAAGGCTTAATACTAAATGCTTTAAAAATCTTGTAATGTATTGAACTGAGTAGACACTCAAACCTAAGCCATTCTAGGTGGTAGAATTTTGGAAACTTACAACAGTGGCCAACAGTGGTTAGTTTACTAAGCCCCTAGTCTCCCGGTCCTTAAGGATTTTACTTCATTTCTTGAGGGGAGAATTTGTTGTATGGGTGTGTTTTGTTTTCTTGGTAATTGTAATGAAGAACCCGGTTATTTTGAGAGTGACGTGGAATGGTTCCTTGGGTTGCAGTTATTGTGGGGCAGGCCTATATACTATGTAGTGGAATGTTCAGCAGTCTTCTTGGCTGCCACCCACCAGATGCCAGTAGTATACCTCCTCAGTTGTGACAACCCGGAGTGTCTCTATTGCCAGATGTCCCCCGAGGGCAAAGTCATCCGAGGTAGTAAAACCTCTGGTTTAAGGTGTTTTAGTTAAGACCAGAAAGGCCACTGTGAAGCAAGTAAGAAATAGATTCATGAAATCAGATAGATTGTGTTTCTTTGTGGGTATTATTAGACCATGACTTACTCCTTTGTGAATTCAGCAGTCACAGTTCAGCTTTTGCAGTATATAATGATAAATACTAAGAAATCCCACAGCGAAAGAGATGATTTAAATTTTTCAAAAAGGTATTATAAGCACTGGTTAAAAATACAAAGAGTATAGAAAAGGTATCGTCTTTCCACCCTTGACTCAGACTACTTTTTTTTTTTTTTTTTGAAGCAACCATGATTGATAGTTTCTTGTGTGTTTCAGTCCAGTCACTCAGTCGAGTCCAACTCTGTGACCACATGGACTGCAGCACACCGTGGGGTCTTGTGTGTTTATATGGGCTAATGTTTACTGAGGACTAGCATGTACCTGGAATTGTGCTGAGAGCTTTATGTATATTATCTCATTTAATCCTCCTAATAAGGAAATTGAGGCTAAGAGAGTTTAAATTACTTATCTAAGGTCACACAGGTAGTAAGTGGTGCTGCTGGATTCATATTCAGGACCTTTGTATTAGAGGCTTTATTTTTAATTTGCAGTGTTGTCTTCCAGGGAGCAGCAATTTAATATAACTGTAAAATATGGTTTTATAAATTTAAATATTCAAGGTTAATTTATCCAGTAACTACCAAAATGTTTGGGGGAATATTCCCATCTTAATAAAACTTTATGCACAAAATAATGCACCCTACAATCTAAGTGATATTCTTAAGGTAATCATAAAAGGAAGTTTTAGCCATTGTTAGTTTAGGAGCAGCATTCTGCTTATGTCATTGGTTGAAGGCAGCACTAAGCTTTTTGGTGTTAGCAGTTAACCTGGAGAAAATGAATTGTACTAATTGGTCTTATTCCCTTCTCTAACTATACTAACTTTTACTTTATGACAAGCATTTATAAAGAATAAGAGAATAGAGAATTTTTTTTTAAGATCACTTGCGTTTTTTTAACATTGACAACATAGATTTTCAGTAGTTGCTTTCTCATAGGCACCTGTCATTCCAGAACTAGGAAGAAGAATCTCTATGCAGTAACAATAAATAAATTGAACTCCTTTTATCATAGAAAGTTTGGTTGTATATTTTAAAGTAGTCTGGAACATTCCCATATCTATCTCCTTGGCTACCCATGTAAGTAAGTTGTGATGAATTATATGTGTTTCTCAGACTTAATGTGCAACAAAATCACATGGGAGTATGTTAAAAATACAGATTCCTGGCCTTACCTCCACAGAATCTTAGTCTACATGTCCAGATGGGGCCCAACAAAGCCCAGTCTTTAAAGCAGTTTTTTTTGTTGACTGTGGAACTGTGTTTTGAACCCCACACTTTAACAGTTGCTCTAAGCTCATCCCCCTGGAGGGCCTTCTGCAGGTAGTACCGTTCCTGGTTTTTGTGCGGTGCTGTGTTTCATTACCCTGGTGTTCATAGGATATTGAAAGAATGCTCTTTAAAAGGAGGAATTAGATTTAATATTTCTTTTTTTTATTTAATATTTCTTACTGGCCTTTCTAGAATGTATTGGCACTGTGACATAAAATTTCACTAGTAATCTTGAACAAGAAAAAATAGAGTACTAATTATTGAAAGGGACCACCCTAGTGGTAGAAGAATCTAAGTTGATGAGCACAATATTAATATTCTTAATGGTTGTAAACGCACATATTTAGAAATGGAAGAAAAGTCTAAAAGTAAGCCTTATATTGCATCAAATTACTATTTATTTTAATAGAGTTTGGGGAATTTTTAATTCCAGAAATTATTACACTGTTCCAGATATAATGCAGCTACTATATGCTGTCAGAAAAAAAGTATAAACCAAACATTGTGGTTGAAGAAGGGGTGTTGATGATTTATAATCCCTGTAGTGGAGGGGGAGCATCAAGGAATTAAGCATCTAATGTTATGTTACAGAATTTTATTTCAAAATATATACATATACATATTTTAAATCATTTTGTGTATACCTTACATACAGTGTTATGTGTCAGTTCTATCTCAGTAAAGCTGGGGGGAAAATCTTTAATTCTTAACATTAACGAGTAAATATTTTAAGTTGTAATTTCTGTTACTCAGTGAATATTTTTGATATATAATGCAATTTAGTTTTTTACAAGTATTGGTAGTTTAAAATAAATGCTAGTTTAATTTTAAATTTAGAATGAAACATACTTTCTATATTTGTGTAACGGTTGATCTCACTTTCTCAAGTACTACTGACTATATTAAAATGTTGAGGTAGACATTTGTTTACCTA